GGAAGGTCATCAAGAAGACATGACTGCTGGTTTGGCCCACAAACTGGACAGGGCAACTGGAAGCTCCCACTCTCTCCCCTGTGCTTGGAATTTGTGCTCTGCTTGCCTTCCCTGTGTTAGAAGCTGCCCAAGGACACAGCCTTGCGACAGAATGTGGTGATGAGACTATCTGGACTGTACATGACTAAACCCAGTTAAGGCCTTCTGCCTCTCCCAGCCCTCCACGTATGGAGACTGGTTTCAGATTACCTTCTAAGGAGGTTTCAACACAACAGAAGCTTTTTAGAAACTCAGAATATCAGGCGCATCTTAGTGCTTCTGAATCAGAATCTGCATTTTAATTGGTGATTAGATATACATTATAGATTGAGAAGCATTCATCTAAAGTGCTGTGCTGAAAAAGCAGTGTGTACAACTAATATCAAGCCATAAGATCCAATGCAAATGAACAGAAGTTGGCTAAACTGTGAATTAAAGAACAAAAAATTACTATGTTGTCCTACACAGAATACAAATTCTACATTTTTTTAAAATGTTATTATAACAAGCAGTTTTATTTTATTTATTTTTAAATATATTGTATTGATTTTTTACAGAGAGGAAGGAGAGGGATAGAGAGTTAGAAACATCGATGAGAGAGAAACATCGATCAGCAGCCTCCTGCACACTCCTTACTAGGGATGTGCCCACAACCAAGGTACATGCCTTTGACCGGAATCGAACCTGGGACCCTTGAGTCCGCAGGCTGATGCTCTATCCACTGAGCCAAACCGGTCAGGGCAAATTCTACATTATTTTGAATGTCTTACAGAAAGGGGTAAAATGCAGTCACAGACCTAAATATATGAGAACAGAAAGAATTAAGAAATATCATAAAAGACCAGTACCACTTACAATTTGACATTGTTACTTTAAAGACAATATGTTCTTTAATGTAGAGGTATTTTCATGATAGCAGAGTAAACTTAATTTTCCAATTAGAACAACTGATTGAGTACTTGTCTCCTGCCAATTCCTGTCTATTAACTGAGTAAAGCCCATCTCAAAAACATACCTCTCACGACTGAGTCTGCCTTATTCTTATTACTTAGTATTCTCATGCCTTGTTTTCCTGTTTATCTTTTAGTCTCCTTGTTTTTACTTTCTCTTATTTTATCCCAACTTCTTAATTTTAAAAAATTCCTTATCTACAGAAAAGTTGAAAGAACCTAGATATAGGTATAGGTATAGGTATAGATATAGATATATATAGATATAGATATATAGATATAGATATATAGATAGATATAGATACACACACACACAATTTTTCCTGAATAGTTTGAAAGCAAGTGGCAGGCACCTTTGATCAAGGATCCAATCACAGATCACACATTACTTTTGGTTTTCATGTCTCCTTAGTCTCCTCTTGTGTAGAGAAGACTATTCCGTCCCACCCCCAACAACCCTTATTTTTCTTTGGTTGTCACGACACTGACATTTTCAGAAGAGTTCAGAACAGTTGTTCTAGAGCAGCGGTTCTCAACCTGTGGGTCGCGACCCCTTTGGCGGTCGAATGACCCTTTCACAGGGGTCGCCTAAGACCATCCTGCATATCAGATATTTACATTACGATTCATAACAGTAGCAACATTACAGTTATGAAGTAGCAACAAAAATAATATTATGGTTGGGTCACAACATGAGGAACTGTATTTAAAGGGCCAGAAGGTTGAGAACCACTGTTCTAGAGAATATTCTACAACACGGACCTGTTACCTCAAGATAAGATCCAGGTTAAACATTTGGGTGAGAAATATTTTTGGTTAAACCTTTTTGTGAGAACACCATATATTGATGTTTTCTTTGAACATTGTTCAAGTTTCTGTGTCTATGCTTTACACTCTTGAATAAATCATAAATAAGCTCCCTGAAAGATATGTCCTTGCTTTTTATTCCAAGCCTTAGCATAATCTCTGTATGTTACATAGTCACTGAATGAAAACTTAAAAGCAGAGTTAACAACTGTTTCTTAAATAGCAGAATATGTATAACTATCCCACATTTAATAGTTTTGAACTAGACTAAAAATATTTGGGCTTTGCCTCTAAATTTTTTGAAAGAAATAATTACACATGTAAGCAGTTTAGCACAGTATCTAGTCCATTATGTACAAAATAAATCTGGGAAAGAGCTAGGGCTAACTGCAGGCATTAAGCAGACTGAACTGCTGAGGTTAGAAGGGGATGGAGTGGTCACCTATGCTTATGAGTAAACTGGGCTTTAAATGAAAGATGGAAACAATGGCATATTCAATAAAATCCAATCTTTTAAGTCTCACTTCAGTCAAATATTGATTAGAAACGATTTCTCGGAGAAGAAAGAAGAGAATTTAATTCCTATTTGAATAAGAAAGCAGTTGAGGACAGTCCACAAGAACAAAAATATGGCATGAAAATCAAATTATGTTATGCAAAATAGGGCTCAGAGAACACTTAAAATATTATCAAAGCATCTAATAGTATAATTTAGAAGTTTATATTTAAATAAAGTTTACTAGATTGAATGTGAAATAAAAATGCTATCTAATATGTCATGTCCAGGAGAGAGAAGTAGTAACTGTAACTTGTTTGAACAACTGTTTCTATACAGAGCAAGAGACCAGTAAGTAATTTAGATATGGTGCATTAGAGAACATTTGGTGTATATGCCATTCCTAATTAAGAGCAGATTCTCAGCTACCAGCTGCCATGTTGAAGTATGCGGCTAATGATTAAGACTATTCCTCTACTCTCCCGACATAAACATATTTTAAGTATTGGTCATTATGTAATCCAATTGCTTTTAAGATAGTGTTTATGCTTCTCTTCTGCTGGGTTTTTTCTCTTTTTTTCCCTTCTCTATCACTAACAAGCTATTGAAAGAAAAACAGAAGTTTTATCTCATCCAAATGCAACTGGGAAAATGTATCACTACATGATGCCTATAAATGTCATATGTGGTAAGCTTCTGTAGATTTATGTTTCCTGAAAAAATGGTAGATGCATTGTCAGACATCTCATAGCTGCCAGAGAACTCTATAATGCTGGACACAAAACAATTCTAAAAATTGAACAAGCAAGCTAACTTTATCTTCCTAAAAAATACTACTAAAGAAATCTAAAATTATATGAGCATTAAGAAATGTTCCTTTTAAACCAAGATATATTCTGAAAAGCAATCATGCAAATAGATTTAAAATATACCACATGCTGTATAAAAACTGATTATTTAGTATACTTGCCTTTAGATATACAATATTACATAATAAATAGTTTTTATGACCCACTTAACTAAATAAGTTCATGTTCCTTCCAATTTATAGAGTAGTTATTTGGTTTGGCTGACAGATGTAGATTTTTGGTTCTATGAAAAAGAGTAATTGAGGATGCTGCAGAGAGCCAAGAATTACATGGACAGATGATAGTCCACATACTAGTGACTTTTAGAAATAGCTCTCAAGCAAGAAAGTGAACATTAACCTTGGGTATCAATGTTATTCTCTTGTGTCACAGTAAGGATTATAGAAATGCTAAATAATGGGATAACAAAGTCAATTCTGCAACTAATAAAACAAATTCAGATATTTTCAAATGGAAACATTCTAACTATATAAGTATCACAAATACCTTTCTAATAAGGCTATCCCAATATGGTGTTTAATCCTAGATAGTATTTCAAATATTATCTTTTCTTCACATGGAACCCAATACCCATTTTCTTCAATACTTGTAGAAAGAACTTTTATCTATATATATAAAAGCCTAAGCAACCGAATGACCAGCCGACCGGTTGCTATGATGCGAACTGACCACCAGGGGGCAGACATGCAACACTGGAGCTGCCCCCTGGTGGTCAGTGCGCTCCCACAGCCAACCTCCCACAGCCTCTCCCCCGAGCCGGCCCCTCCCCATGGCCAGCCGGCCCATGGCCAGCCGGCCCCCCTGATCGGCCCTGATCACCGGACAGGCCAAGGGACCCTACCCGTGCACCTGCACCGGGCCTCTAGTTTATTTAGAACTCCAGGTATGGAGAAAATATGTGCTATTACTGATAAAGAGCTGAATAAATCTCATAAGATAATTTCCTCCACTTTTCTTAAAACTATTCCAAAAAATTACCTATCCATCTGTTTATCTAAAGTTTCCTGACAACTTAAAAGGCAAGATTATGTTAAAATATAAGCCACAATCCCTGTTTTGCAAAAGTTTATAACTAATCCTACATAATAAAAGCCTAATATGCTAAGTGTCCAGTCATCGGTTCAACCAAAGTGTAATATGCTAATGATATGCTAAGGCCGCTCAACTGCTCACTGTGATGTGCACTGATCACCAGGGGGCAGATGCTTCAACTGGTAGGTTAGCTTGCTGGTGGAGTCTAGTCGATCTGGATGGAGCGAGACAAGCCAGACATGCCCTGGAGCCCTCCCGCAGTCCCTCCCCGGCTGGTCAACCTCCCGCATTCCTCCCTGGCCCCGATCATGCACTGGTGGGATCCCTTGGCCTGGCCTGCGCCCTCTCGCAATCCAGGCTGAGGGACCCACCCCCCACTGAATGCACAAATTTCATGCACCCGGCCTCTAGTATTTACAAAAATTACTAGTAAAGATAATATGAAATTCACAAAATTGAGCAATAGAGAATACAGGTTTTCATCAAATAAAGATTTCTGTATCATAAGTTGAGAAAATACAATGTTTTTCATTGCACAATATCTTGCTAACAATATTGTATATTTTAAAAAGAATACCATACTGAAGAGCAGCAATTTTATCTTAGAAAATTCAAGCTATTAATTCATTTATTTCACATATATATGAATACATACCATATGCAAGGAAATGTGAAGAAAGTAAAATTACAAAAGAATGTGGTTGATCCCTTCCCCCAACAGATTACAATTGATTGGGATCAGCACACATATTCCTTAAAATGCTTTGTCCCTTGAGATACAACATGTATTCCTTAAGTTGTGCTTACCTGATCTTGTAGTGACATCACTGGATTATTTTTGGTAGTGTTGATATGAAGAACATGGTATTTATTCTTTGCACACAGGTCATAGGCAATATTGGTAAAAGAGGTGCTTGCGGTTTTGGGGACTCTGTTATAAATGATCACCATGTCATCTTCCTCATCTAAAGCTGCATCTTCCTCATCTAAAGCTGCATCTTGCCGAGGGCCATCCATTGTATGACGTTGCTCAATTTCTCGAACTTCATGTCTTGCAATAGCCCTTTCTGCAAAGAAAAACAGAGAAAAACTCAGTTTTTAAAGAGACAATAAGGAAGTTATGAAACACTGAAAATAATTTCCTACACCTGGAATATAATGTTCTTTTCCAAGAATTGGGTAAGAGCAGATGAGGAAATGTTTGGAGGGCCAAACATCAGAACTACCTTTGAAGGATGATACATCCTATATAATAAAAGCCTAATATGCTAAGTGTCTGGTCGTCCAGTCAGCCATTCAACCAAAGTGTAATATGCTAATGATATGCTAAGGATGCTCAACTGCTCGCTATGACGTGCACTGATCACCAAGGGGCAGACAGTCAGCCAGTCAACCAGTTGCTATGATGTGCACTGAACACCAGGGGGCTGACGCTCCGACCGGTAGGTTAGCTTGCTGCTGTGGTCCAGCTGATCAGGACTGAACAAGACAGGCCCTCCCATGGTCCCTCCCACATCCCTCCCCAGCCCCGATTGTGCACCAGTGGGGTACCTCAGCCTGGCCTGTGGCCCTCTCACAAATCTGGGGACCCCCTCGGGGGATGTTGGAGAGCCAGTTTCGGCCCAATCCCGCAGGCCCAGGGCTGAGGGACCCCACTGGTGCACAAATTCATGCACCGGGTTTTCTAGTATACATATAAAACAGAACAAAAGAATACCACAGACCAGAGAGTTCTTCAGTGTAGTTCAAAAGTCACTTTATAGTCTAATAGAATTTCCATAGCTTGCCCTAATTCTCAAACACACAAAGACAGATTATATGGAATACTACATTTTATAGTAAAAAATGCACTTAAAAAATACATCACTTAAAATGTAAGCAAAGATTTTGAAATTTTCTATTTGGGATTTAGTTATTCCCTGATTTATCAACAGGTATTTAGGGCAGTGATTATTGTGCCATGCCAGCACAGCCATGGGTGAACCTGAGTGGAAGGGTGGGGGGGGGGGTGGCGGTGAAGGATTAGAAAAGATAGACAAGAGAATAAAGCTAGGGCTAGGTGGGATGCTGCCCTCTGATTAGAGAGACAGTGCCAGATTTCCACCAGGCAAAGTAAGAGCATGGTCAAGATATTTACAATGCTCTCGAGGGTTTCAAATCTTACTCAATTACATGCACCTGAACTCTATCAAGTCCACATCACTCAGCCTCCTGGGACCACAGGTTCCGACCATAAGGTCAGGCTTACAACTATAGCCTTTGGCTATAATTGTGCTGGGACTTGCACATGGCTTTCCCACGAGAGGATCATGCCCTCTCATTAGTCCAAGGCTTAAACCTGTCCAAATGCTGTAGCCACTCTCCACAGATTATAAGTGCTGATTTTGATTTTTGGGTAAGAAGAGTGGAAATAACACCATCACAAAACCTTTTTCTTTTTGGTGTTGCATTACAGATAAATCCTGGCTATGTTTATTCCTGAAACCCCATGGTTCCTCTAATTCAAATCCCTGTCTACCACATAGTTTAAAAGCAATGACATTTTGCTTTCTACTACTCCCAATTTAATAGAAAGTTCAGTTTCAAATACTTTTTAGAGGAAGAGAGCAAGAAAGAGGGAAGGAAGAAATGAAGGAAGTAAATCTCTAACAAGACTGCAAATTTCTTTGCACAGAAATAGCTGCTTCCACATAGTATGCACCTACTATCACCGGATCTTTGTGTAAGCTATTGCACCTTCCTTAAATTAAACACTTTTCCATTCTCTCTCTATCCCAATCCTGCCTGGTGAATTCCTCAACCTTCACATTGAATTTAATCATCACTTGCAAGGAAAACATTACCTGCTCGCCCTAACTAGGTCAAATTATACACTGGCATGTATGTATGCACAGTGTACCTCATACAATGCCTTGTACTTATCATAATTGCAACTTTACATTATATATGTATTGTTATTAGCGTCTGTCCACCATAATGCCTATGAATTAATAAAGTGACATGAAAAAGCAATGTGCTATAATTATAGTAACAAATTCAGGCTTCCAATATTGTTGGACCACGAATCTTAAATTTTGGTTCAGAAAATAAGGTCACCATGTTACAGAGAGCACATTCTGAGCGGTGGATTCACATTCAGAAGACTTGAACTAAAGTTCCAGAACTACTGCTTATTAGCAGTGGGCTTTGCAAAACAAGAAGAGAAGAACCTATATTCTAGATGTATATGCATATATGTATCATTCTCCCCGCCCCCCCTTTGGACAGTTGGATGGAAATGTGAGGAGAAAGATGAGCTTAATGTTGAACATACCTTTGGACTGCCTGAGACATCAGGAGATGTTATGTAGGTAAGTGGGCAGATAGGCTGAGAGTTGAGAATAACGGTTCAAGTAGAAGAAATCTGGGAAAACCATGGGAATGAATGAAATTGCCTAATAATCTAGAATATGTAGTATGGGAAGAGATGCTAAGATAGAATCTAAGGAAATACCAACTCTTAAGGAGCAAGTAGAAAAAGATAATCCACAGAAAGAAGCAGCAATGCAAAGAAAAAGAAACAGGACAGACTTCTAAGAAGCACATACCACATTTTAGAAAACATATTATTTTTCAGATTGACAGGGCTTTCCAAATGAACCTATAAATCAAAGTAGCATATGATGCATCTACAAAGGATTTGGAAATTATCTCAAATTAAACTGAGCAAGTGTTTATGAGAGCCTATGTACATTATTATATTAAATAATTTTTTAAACAATTTTATCTTCCAAACAACTTCAAACTGTCATCATAGCCCAAACTACTAAGGTATTGTTATGTCTACACCCTCCTTTTTCTACTGAGAGAAATAAAACATGCTGCTGTCACTCAAGTGCTGACAGAGATGTGAGGGCTTTCTCCAGCAGCCCAGATATGCCTGAAGCTGCCTTTAAAATTAAGATTTGCCTGCTATCAACAATGCTAGTTTAGTTTCCCTAGTTTTTCTGAAATTAAGTATTTAGAAAAGCAGATTTTATGTTATTTCACAAATGGGTATCCATTTGACCTATAGAAAACATAAAGATTACAGAAAAACTACAATATTAAAAGTTTCTGTAATTATTCTTCCACTTAAAATTTTTAGACCCAAAAATTAATTACTTTGAAAATTAACTAATTAAAATATTTTTAAAAGAAGTTATTACTTAGTCTGTGGAATTTTTATTCTGTAAGGTGCTAAAACTCCACCTGAACCATGAAACTAACATGTTTTCAAAATTAATCACTGTTCTTGGTTCATTATGTGTATTAAATTATGTGTATTAAATTAATGAACTGTATATTTCATACAATTTTTAAAAATTTCTTAAAATATGAAAAGGTACAAATATGGAGTCACTGCTTTCCTCATTTAAATTACATATATATGAATTTTCTATTTTTCAAGTATTTTTACTGCTTAAACAAACAAAATAATTATTACCACAGTGTAATGCCTAAAAAGACATAAAAGATTAAAATAGTTTGGAAGCCGAAACCGGTTTGGCTCAGTGGATAGAGCGTCGGCCTGCGGACTGAAAGGTCCCAGGTTCGATTCCGGTCAAGGGCATGTACCTGGGTTGCGGGCACATCCCCAGTAGGAGATGTGCAAGAGGCAGCTGATCGATGTTTCTCTCTCATCGATGTTTCTAACTCTCTATCTCTCTCCCTTCCTCTCTGTAAAAAATCAATAAAATATATTTAAAAAAAAATAAAAAAAAATAGTTTGGAAAATTAAGAGAATATTTGCTAGTGATAGGTTTATAAAATCAAATCTCAGCTGGCTGAACAGTAACAGTAACTACTGTTAATGCTAAACTACTTTTTTCTTTTGTGACAATACTTAAAACTACTAAGATTGCTTGTAATATAGACACATTCTTTACTTACTAAGTATTTGATAGTTCCAATTTTTTCCCCCAAAGATGTTCTGCATCTACTTAGTACAGCTTCTTCTGAGACTCTCTTAAATCAATGGGGAAGCTTTATTACAGCACGTTTGCAGCACACTTTGAGAAAGTAGGCAGTATATTTAAAACAGTTAAGATGCATTTTGCAGTGGTAGTGTTTTATCATGTTTGATTTATGAATTATAAAGACTGCCATACAACCTATTTCAAAACCTCCACAAAGTGTATAGTGTACAAACAACATGAGGTGCAGTCTGAAAGTCATGAAATTACAGGCAGGCCAGGCCACACTAGCACAAATGTGCCTGACTCTGAACTCCATGGCAATTCTAGGTCTTCTGGGCTCCTTGCTGAAAGTGGCACATACCTTAACTTAACCAATTTTTCCATGTGGCAGATGATCAACAAATTCAAGTCTTTTAAAAGACCATTCATACTAGCAATAATAGTGCATTAAAGACCTCTTGTAATAAAAGAATATAATGATCAAGCATAAAACATTGCATTAAACAGACCAACCTAAATTCTACACAGCATTAAAGTCACAAAGATATATGTGTATGTATATATGTGTGTGTGTATATCTGCATATATGTGTATGTATATATATATCAGACTACAGAAAAACTGAAGAGACACTTTTTTAACTAGTGTATCTTTTAATGACTGATTTTTTATTAACATTTAAGATTATTGTTTTGGGTAACACTCTTTTTTCTTTGAACATTTAATTAAATGTTCAATACATTAAATAATTTACAGAGAGGAATAAGCTATGTGTTTTGTATAAATTAAAGGACCCATGAATATAACCTCCTCACTCCACCAAAGATCAATTTTGCAATGGTCTCAGCAGAAAATAAACAGTTCACAAATGTTCAAAAAGTGTAGTATTTCTGTACTGTAGATAACAGTTTACGATCAGAGGGATAAAAGAAACAACAAAAGGAAAGAGCAATAAATTGCCCTGCCTTCAAATACTGAAATTTCTGCACATTAAAGTAAAAAGTATACAAGAGTTAGATAATTGGTGAAGAAAGGAAAAATGATCAAATTTCAATATCTATAATTACAGGAAGAAAACATAGACATTGGCATATTAATTTTACGACTTATGTAGATAATAAGCTAAGGTT